TCGCCAGCAGTCCTTCAGAGTCTCATTCAGAAACTCAAGGCTGAGTTTGCCATGACAGACATGGGTGATCTGCACTTTTTCCTCGGCATCAATGTCCATCGCACTGCTCAGGGCTTCTTCCTTCATCAGACACAGTTCACTCACGACATCCTTGAGCGGGCAGGGATGGTCTCCTGTCGCCCCATATCTACTCCAGTCGACACAAAGGCAAAGCTCTCCTCCTCCTCCGGCACGACACTTCCAGATCCTTCTCTTTACATGTCCATAGTTGGTGCTCTGCAGTATCTCACATTCACTCGCCCTGATATTACTTATGTCGTTCAGCAGCTCTGCCTCCACCTTCATGCGCCCCGCGACTCTCATCTCACAGCCATGAAGCGAGTTCTCCGTTATCTTAGCGGCACCGCCACTCACGGCATCTACTTGACCTGCTCCACGACAGATTATCTCCAGGCTTATTCAATTCTGATGCTGATTGGGCTCCTGACACCAGACGCTCTACTTCCGGGTACTGTATCTTTCTGGGCGATAACCTGATTTCATGGTCATCCAAACGCCAAGCCACCACGTCACGGTCCAGTGCGGAGGCAGAATATCGGGTTGTGGCTAATGCAGTTGCAGAGACATCCTGGATTCGGAATCCTCTCTTTGAGCTCCAGCAACCTCTACGGCGTGCCACCCTCGTCTTTTGTGACAATGTTAGCGCCGTCTACCTCTCATTAAACCCGGTTCAGCACCAGCGCACCAAGCACGTTGAGGTCGACATACACTTCGTGCGTGACAAAGTCGCACTCGGCCACATAAGAGTTCTTCACGTGCCTTCTTCATCTCAGTATGCTGACATCTTCACCAAGGGACTGTCTTCCCTGCTCTTCCTCGAGTAGTCTGAGTGTCAGACCACCTCCACCCCGACGTAGCCGGGAGCATGTTAAATATATTCTATATTTAATGTAAATATATTGTTTCCTATTATTCTCTCCTACCTTGTATAAGAATAGGAATCCTATGTATATATAAACACATGTGCTCCCACATATTCAATCAATGAAAATAATCTTTCTACCATCAGAAACAAGAAAACACAGAAAAGATGAGAAATGGGAAGGAAATTGAGCTAACCAGACGACGCCAAAAGCGCCGCGTCCGACGGGCCTGAGGGGGACATACTTTCTGGAAACTTCGAAAAGGTTTCCGTGTATATTGTACTGCACATACCGGCCGCCATGAGAGAGGACTCCATTGAAGTTGGTGCGATGAGCGTGGTCAGCTGCTGCGACTGAGCTCGACTCCGCCGCAGACATATCACCAATCAAGAACTACCTTAGAATCACAATGAACGCCCCTAAATTTTTCAAATCTTGCGGAACTTCAGGAGACTTGTCTTTGTCGGTGGCCTTGCGGGTGGAGGAGGAACAAGACCACCAACAGCAGACCAACCAAAAGTATTTGGGGCTAGAGGTTACTGGCCAAGGAAATTGACTTTTCCTAGGTTCATTACTTTTTGGTGTGTTTTTTTAACTTTTTTTGGGATAAATTTTAGGGGTGAGCATTTTAACCGAACCGACTGTAGAACCGATGGAGTAAAACCGAACCGACCGAGATTTCGGTTTCGGTTTCGGTTTCGGTTAGTGGTTAGCAAAAAAATCGGTTACTTCGGTTAATCGGGTCGGTTTTCGGTTTTGAACTTAAATAGTTAAAACCGACCGAAAAACCGAATCCAAACCATTATAGCATAATCCAATCAGATGCCTAGCCCAAAACTAAGTTAACCCAATCTATTTATCCAATTTAGATGCCCAGCCCAAAACTAATTTATCCTCAATCCAGTACAAATGAAATAAATATATGGGGGCTGGATGCACCGCACAAAGGCCACAAAGAAACCCTATACAGCACTCTCTCTCCTCACTTTCTAAGTTCTTCACCGACTCACCTTCTCGGTTTCTCCAAGCTCTGTCGCTGTGAGTCCGAGACCAACTACCTCTCCAGTCGGACGATCGTTTCATTCAGTCGTGCCTTTGTGGAATTTTGGCATTATTTTCTCATTTTGATTTTTGAAGATTATATTTTATGTTTTTGGACCTCCAAATTTGGACTGTTTTTTTTGTTATAATGTTGTTAGGTTTTACCAGAGTACTACTCCCTAATATTTTTCCAAATGCTATGAATCTTTTTTTACTCTTGACCATTAATTATCAATTAAAGTGTTCATTTAGCAATTTCCCCTGTCCATATCATTTAATGTCTTGTGCATTTCGGTTTTAAATAACCGACCAAAACCATTCGGTTTTATCGGTTTCGGTTTGCTCGGTTTCCCAATATATCGGTTCGGTTTCGGTCGGTTATTATATATTGAAAAAAAGTTCGGTTATTTCGGTTTTGACCCGAAACCGACCGACCCGAACCGATGCTCACCCCTAATAAATTTAAGGCTGCCGTACTACTCCGTACATTTCATACCAAATCACATTTTCAATATTTTTATACTCTTTCCTCTTAGAATATCTATTCTATTTTAACTTTTTTTTAATTAAAATTGAAAAATTTTCACCTTAAGTTAAATAAGATTGATAGTATATTGAGAAAAAAAGAATAATTTAATTAAGTGCATCTTGTAAAATATTTTTAAAATTGATTTATCTAAACAATATACCATATACAAGTACGTTTTATTTACTTATAAATCAAAAATTAATTTATATAGGCTCAATAAAATCAAAACTAGACAGATACTCCTAAAAGAAGAGGAAAGTGTGTTCCCTAACGCTAGGACGAACTCACTTGCAGAGTTCGTTGAATGCATTTTCCAATTTTTAACGCTCTAATATTCTACAAATCCTCACGAGATAAAATCTCTTTTTGTGGCATGCAACTTGCAAACAAACTAAATGTAGAATTATTTTGAGCCAACCGGTAATAGTTTAGATTGTTTTCATCACTTTTTCCTTTAAAAAAGTTATGTACCTTCATTGATCGGAAAATGGACGAATGGCTTCTGGTACCCCTTGTGCTCTAAAAAATGGGCACTAATGTCCCATCTTTATCAAACTTAAGTTGCACTCTCAATGTGTGAAATGTAAATTACAGGAGGAGATATGTGTAATGTTTTGAAATCATTAATATTTTATTAATAAAACTTGAAATTTAAAGAAAAAGAATATTATTATTTCACACTACACAAAACATTGAAACTATTTGCCCATAACTGGTAGGATATGAACTCTAACCTAGTACGTGCAGTGTAAAAATATCTCATTCTTTATATGTATATTCTTTATCGTTGCACTCAGAAGTAAAACTTAAAATTATCCTTTTAGCATTGTACTCCTCCCGTCCACCAATTTTTTTCTCACTATTATCCACAGTGTAAATTTTATTTACTTTGTATGCCTATCTTCGTTATCATTTGGTAAAATAATTTTGATTACATAATATAATCATGTCACGTCTAATTTTGTACTCCCTCCGTTCTCAAAAACTCTTCCCCTTTCATTTTTTTTACTTCCAACAAAACACTTCAACTTTCTATTAAAAAACTACTTTCACTCTTACTTTTTCATACCCTACCTATCACATCATACTTTTTCTCTCATACTCAATCCATCACATCTTACTTTTACCCATCACATCAAGGACAAAATTGGAAGTCAACTACAATTTAACACTTCCTTATTTTTACACAAAGTCAAAATATGAACACTTTTATAGAACGGAGGGAGTAAATCTTTTGATAAAATTCTTAAATATATACACCTTCCATCCTAATTTATATTGCATGTTTCGGTTTATGATGTTTGACTAAATTTTCTTTCAAATAATTTTATATAAAAAAGTTGTAAAATTGTAAAATAAAAATTACATATTAAAATGTTACATCAAAAGATCTACAAATCTAGTGGTGACATGACTATTTTATTTAATTAAATAACTACTAAAAAAGAGAAATAAAGTGAATAAAATGTGATCGTATAAATAATACTTCGTAAATAAGTAATATAATTTGGGATAAAATTTGATCGTATAAATAAGTAATATAATAAATAAAGTGAATAAAATTTGATCATATAAATAATCCAAACAAGCGCTATGAAATTCAACTATTTTAAGGAAAGTGATTTCTGGAATTGTTATTTCGAAAAGGCAAATCTAACCTCTAAACGCTGTCTTAGCAACCATGCTAGAGTTTAGGGTTTAATGTATCCCAAGTTGTACCCCAAAGAAATGCTATGACGTTTTAATTCAATTAAAACAAATTACAACGATATTTTTTGTCTAATCCTTATTCCTTCAAAACTTTTTCTTCGGAAACACAAGAAGAGAATGTAGCTTAATTTCTTTTCAAGTCACCCTACCCTATATTCATTGCCCCTCTCTTCCTCCAACTGAAATGGATTTTTGCTGATATTCTGCGCTCCCATGGCTCCTACATATCTACCGCGCGCGAACTGTAATATTTTCGTTTTTCCATCGTCTATGCAAAATTAACTTCGAAATTTCTGTTTTCCTACTCTGCTTGCTTGTGCGGACTGCTCATCTTCATCGCTCCATAAGATGCATAACTTTTTAGGGTTAATTTGATATTTTATTTTTCTGGTTTCGTAATGCTTATAAGGCATCTAGTGTGGAATTCGTTGCAGGAAGGCAAGAATGATTCTTTAAGTTCCTTGTTTGTGTTGAGTCGAACGAGCTTGCTGGGTTTGTATTAGTCTTCTATCGGGCTGATTATATATATGCTTCACGCCCAATTGTAATGGCTGCAATTAAGTTTTCAATATTGACAAGATCACTCAACCCATCTTTAAATTTTGCAAATGTCGTTGGTATTAGATCCTCATCACCTGCTTGTCTGAGTCGTAATTATTTCCATGCGAGCGAGTCACGTAGTCCTACAAGGAATCATGCTGCTATAGGTTTTGGGGTGGTAGGTTTTAGCTCATATGTCAGTGGGTCATTGAGCTGTTATCCTTTACGAGGTGTGTCTTTACTCTGGAGTAGTAGCCCTATATGGAGCAGCCGGTTGTATTCATCATCTGTAGGTGGTGAAGGGGGTACTTCTGGAGACTCAGGTTCTGTCATTTCAGGACTCAGTGGATCTAATATGGCTGGTACTGGTGGATCTGATATGGGTGAGTGGGGTATGAAGGCAAAAGAAGCCATCCAAAGTCTTGGGAATGCTGTGAGTTCCACAGGAGAGAAGGTCAGAGATGCTTCCAGTGACATAACACCTCACATACAGCAAATTCTTGATGCCAATCCACTTGAGAGATGTTGTTGCTCCCGTTAGTGGTACTTTGGTGTGTACTTTACTGGCTTGGTTAGTGATGCCAAGGTTTCTGAGGAGGTTTCATAAGATGTCAACAGAAGGGCCTGCTGCGTTGTTATCTGAGAGCTCAATATTGAAGCCCGTACCTTATGAAAAAAGCATCTGGAGTGCTCTGGAAGACCCTGTTCGGTATCTCATCACTTTTATGGCCTTTACCCAAATGTTAGTAAAATCCCTATATGCCTGTTATATTATTCTTCCCCATTTGAAGTCACTGTCATTTATTTGTGCCAAACGTGTGATTAGTTATTTTGAATCTGTTCATGCAGTGGTGCTATGGTGGCACCAACCAGCGTTGCATCACAGTACATTCTGCCAGCTTGGAGGAGTGCCACTATTCTTACTTCTGTTTGGTTTCTACAAAGATGGAAGACGAATGTGATTAGCAGAACCTTAGCAGTTAAGACCTTTGAAGCTGGTGATCAAGACAGGTTGTTGACGCTGGAGAAAGTATCTTCTGTTGCTTTATTTGCTATTGGATTGATGGGATTAGCTGAGGCATGTGGGGTGCCAGTGCAATCCATTCTCACTGTGGGAGGTGTAGGAGGTGAGAAGCTTTCATTTCATCAATATAACATTGTAAATCCTTGTATGACATTAACTTGGTTATTGGTATGCAGGAGTTGCTACTGCTTTTGCTGCTTGAGATGTCATTGGAAATGTTTTAAGTGGGCTTTCGTTACAGTTTTCAAGGCCTTTTTCTATTGGAGATTTGATAAAAGTATGCCACATATTTGTCCCCTTAAACTGTTTTCAAGGCCTTATCTGTAAATGCAAATTTGTTGAATACTTTTGAGAAAGTGATTCAGGGTATTCGGTAGTTCCAATGCGATCAATTTTGAAAGCCATATGCTACTAAACCAACCCAAACATAATCCACAATATGAGATACATCTCTCTTAGGAGTACGGTCTTAGGAGTTGAGACTTTAGATGTTGCTCCTAAAGGGTCAAGTGAAATACTCCGTATAGTTATTGTTGAAAAATGTTGAATTGGAGCTGCATTTGAAAATCACACCGTAAAATGAGAGGATAGGCTTACTAAGGTCCATATCGGAAATGCAGAGTTGCTAGTAGTTCCATAAAGTTTAGGAGTCAAGTGTTTGGGTGAATATAATAGTGATCAAAATCAAAGAAGATATTGATTGACTTATTTTATGATTTCATATGGAGTTATAACTTATCCTCTTCTAAAAATGAGTAATTAATTGCGCGAGCAGGCGGGATCTGTTGAAGGCCAAGTTGTAGAAATCCAATGTGAATGTGTTCTTGGAAAAGGAGGCGCCCTATTGTTTCTTGTCTAATCTAGAAAGAGGATAGGCAGAACTCACTCTCGGCTGCAACCTAAAACAAATGGTATGTAAAAACTAAGAGCTGATCCGCTTCTTTTTTTTTTATAAATGTGATTTGTGGTTTGAATGTGGGCGTTCATTCATTCATCAAGCAACACGGCGCTTCTTTAGCCAACCCCTCTTCACTGAACATGTAGACACAATTTTCTCAATATCATGTCAATTGACAATTAGGGATGTTGCTATAAGCCATGCCATTGTAGTATTCTCTTTTAAACTCCAGTTTTTTTCATTTTAATGATGTGACTATAAAGCCATGTGTTAGAATATAAATAACTGTTCCTGGGTCACAACCATAAGTTTGAGTTTTTGGTTGAATCGGAGTCTCGTTGACTAAGAGATCACGGGTTCAAAACTCAGCGCCACCCAGTTTAAAAAAATTTAAGGTTTCACGTGCAAGCCTCGAAAAAGACTACGCCTGCACGTGAGGGGGCGTGTTAGAATATAAATAATTGTTGCTTGGTAGCTTGGTAGCTCAAATATAATGTGGATTTGGAATTGATAGGGCAAAATATGAATTGGAATTGGCGAATTTAATTCTATGGAATTGAATCCCATGGAATTTAATTCTATGGGATGTGCGATTTTCCTTCATAAAACCTTGTACTAGACAACATAGAGCTCCAGATGTGTTCTTACACCAAACATTACTGAGATTCTCGATCATATAAATTAAAACAACATATGTAAACAAAATATTATTATTTGCTTGATGATGAAATGGAATGCTTAATTTGCAGCTTCGGTTTTAAAACAAAACACCAACACAACTTGATAAAGACAATATTAACCCCAGAATGTGTATGTATGTATCTATGTATACATACACATGATGATGCTCATATAATATTCAGTTGTTTGTAGTAGTAGGGGGAGGATCTGGATTGAACTTCACAGATTCCCTCCAGATGAGCTCTTTAATGTTTTCTTCGGTGAAGGATGGCTGCTCAAAGTCAAAACTGAAAGGCTTTGGGCAAACGGGCTCCTCGTTAATGTCGTGGAGAGGCGCCAAGTATGGATGGCACAGTGCCTCGTCAACTGCAAACAAACCGAAACACGAAACGTGTACATAATATTGCCCATACACTAAAATGCATTTTCTTGTTTTTGAAATATTAACTAAATAAATGTTTCAGCACCTAGATTAAATAAATGGTTTGAGTTTGGAGATATACTTTGTTTGTAGTAAAAAGCAGAGGGGGCACCTGTAATACGGCGACTAGGATCAAAGACGAGCATTCTTTCAAGCAAATCCACTGCTCCGGGAGAAGAATTGGGGAATCTTCTAGAAAATGGCTCCCTTGGATACTGCGGAAGTTGTTTCACATACCGTCGGGCATTATCACTACGGAGAAATCCAAGGCTTGCATCATCCGGAGATCCTATCAGCTATTCAAAATGGAAGAAAATGGCCATAAAAAGCTCGACTATTCAATTTGCATAACGATATTTAATATATGGGGCATGCTAGGGGTACTCCAAAATGGGATACTCCATTTGTAGACCAAACAAACACAGACAAACATAGACACTAAGTGTGTGTACAAATGGGGTACCCCATTTTGGTGTACCCCTAAGTTAATTCTTAATATATAGATATAGTACCTGTGTGACGAGTTTTAACTGGTGAACGTAATCTCTTCCGGGAAAAAGGGGTTGCCTTGTCAGGATTTCACCAAGTATGCAGCCTACAGACCAAATGTCTATTGCGGCAGTGTACTCTGAACAGTTCAAGAGCAGTTCTGGTGCACGATACCAGCGAGTCACAACATATTCGGTCATGAAGTCTGTCTCAGATGTTGTCCTCGCAAGCCCAAAGTCTCCAAGCTTCAGGTCACAATTAGCATTCAGGAGCAAATTGCTGGGCTTCAGATCTCGGTGCAACACATTCGCAGAATGAATGTACTTGAGCCCGCGCAATATTTGGTAAAGGAAGTACTGATAATAACAATAATAATACAGCAGCAATGTAGAAGTCAAAGTCAATGCAGATGATGATGGTGATGATAAAATGATGCGATTTATAGGAAAAACGGGTCGTACCCGACAGTGATCATCAGCCAATGGCTGGTTAGATCGAATAATTTGATTAAGATCAGTATCCATTAGCTCATAAACAATGTACACATCATTGAAGTTTTCCTTCTGAGGAGGCCTTATGATGTCTTTAATCATAATTACCTAACCATAAAACAGAAAGTTAGTTGCAATCACAAAGCAGATGAACTACTTGCTTGCTGCAGACCAGATTATGTATTTTCAGTTCCCTAAATTAAGCCATATATACACAAACACTAAAGCTCACTGCAGAGACACATACACACATACATTATCATGATCCATGTGGCTGAGGAGTTTTATCTCCCGTAATGTCCTTTTCGCGTCGATACTATTGTCAAATGCATTCCCAATCTTCTTTATGGCAACTTCCTCATTTGTGACAGAGTTCATAGCCGCGCTGCATAAAAATGAACGCGCACAGTGAATCTTGATTACAAAAACAAATCTTTTTAAAACAAAGACCATCTTTTTTCGCAAAAACATAATTCCTGTATTTGTCATAAATGGAGTGCTTTTGCCAAACTTACTAAAAATGATTCACACCTCAATCAAACTATCTAGCCACTAGGCCTCATTTGGAAAGGTACTCAATTGCTGGAATTCTCATCATTCCAAACATGCTTTTCAACTAATTGGAGGTCATTTGAGTCTCACTGATTCATTTAATCCCACCAACCAAATCAATCCAAACTGGGCCTAATATTCTAGTAAACAAAATCCAATCTTGAAAACAACATGCGGAAGAACAGCATAAAATACGAAATCCAAATTGACAAGAACACAATCACGATGATGAAATCAGAAACAAGAAAACACAGAAAAGATGAGAAATGGGAAGGAAATTGAGCTAACCAGACGACGCCATAAGCGCCGCGTCCGACGGGCCGGATGGGAACATACTTCCTGGAAACTTCGAAAAGGTTTCCGTGTATATTGTACTGCACATACCGGCCGCCATGAGAGAGGACTCCATTGAAGTTGGTGCGATGAGCGTGGTCAGCTGCTGCGACTGAGCTCGACTCCGCCGCAGACATATCACCAATCAAGAACTACCTTAGAATCACAATGAACGCCCCTAAATTTTTCAAATCTTGCGGAACTTCAGGAGACTTGTCTTTGTCGGTGGCCTTGCGGGTGGAGGAGGAACAAGACCACCAACAGCAGACCAACCAAAAGTATATGGGGCTAGAGGTTACTCGCCAAGGAAATTTGACTTTTCCTCGGTTCAATAGTTTTTGGTGGTGTTTTTTTTAACTTTTTTTGGGATAAATTTAAGGCTGAGTACATTTCATACCAAATCACATTTCCAATATTTTTTATACTCTTTCCTCTTAGAATATCTATTCTATTTTAACTTTTTTTAATTAAAATTGACAAATCTTAACCTTAAATTAAATAAAATTGATAATATATTGAGAAAATAATAATTTTATTAAGTACATCTTGTAAAATATTTTCAATATTATTTTATCTAAATAATATACCATATACGAGTAAGTTTTATTTAGACAAATACTCTTGGAAGAAGAGGAGAGTATGTTCCCTAACGCTAGAACGACCTCACTTTCGGAGTTCGTTGAACACAATCAACACATCTCCCAATTTTAATGCTCTAATAATCTACAAATCCTCACAGGATAAAATCTCTCTCATGTGGCATGCAACTTGCAAACAAACTAAGTGAGTGTTGTGAATTTGACAAAAGCAAAGAATGCCAAAAGGGTAAGGCTTGAGTTCGATTCATAACAAGTATGTTAAGAGACAATTATGCTAAACATAAAATCTCTACAAATAACAAGTGTTGATTGTACTTTTTGTCACCAATCTGCGATAAAAATCCAATTTACATCTTCTCAGCAACCGTCCAGCCAGGATTGAGAGGACCCTCAGAGATGGGACTCATCTATTCCTTTCTTTTCTTTTTTTTTTTGCAAGCAAGCTAAATACTTAAAGCTGGAATTCCCTTTTGTTTATTCACCACAAGGGTGTGAATAGTGAATACTCTCCTCTTTTGCATTTTTTTGAGAAGGAGCATTAATGTTGATCAAATCAGCCGTTCATAATGATAATAATGGTTTACAAATGTGAGTGATATTGTTATTGCAAGACAAATCAGAGCACAACTATTTATCACAAACATTGCTTCGCTCTACACGTTTTGGCAATAATATTTTAACTGTTGAAACGCCACACACATTGAATCCAGAACACATCATCCGCCCCCCCCCCCCCCCCCCCCCCCCCCCCCCACACACACACACGCACAGCTAAGCACCCCCTCTCTGTGAAGAAGAAGAAGGAGAAAAAGAAGAAGGAAGGAAGAAGAAGAAGAAGAAGCTTGAATACGCTCCTATAGTTAGCTAGTATTTATTATTCACAGAATTTACCCCTCCACTTGATTTTCGGTCTTGCATTGATTTTGATACGTTATTGCTACCAACTCTAATGTTCGAAAGCATCGCATTTCGCCCCGTCAAAATAACATGGAAAAAACCGTCCACTTCCTTGGCCAATAGATCGAGTCCTTCCGAAAGTACATCGGCATTCTTTCTTAACTCTGAAGTTGCATTTTGCAATGAGAACCCTCCTCCAACCGCGTCAAGGTCTACCCCTGGCTCCACTATGGGGTATAGCTTCTTCACACTCGCGTCAACAGCTTCAAGCTCCTTCAGCCTGGTCACCCCTCCGTTGTCCCTTATTTCATCGGTAACTGAACTCTGAAGATCAACAAAAGCTTCGGCCCACAAACAACCCTCAAGAACCTCAAAGCCCTTCTTCATGTTTCCTGAAGAGCCCGAGAAGGCAACAGCCACTACACTGCAGAGGAAAATGGTAACCACGCGCACGCCATACAGAGCTCTCATCAGAACTCTTTCTTTCCCAGAATCTTTCTTCTTAGGGAACTTCAGGCTCTCAACGAGGCGGTCCACTGTCACAAAGCAGTTCTCAAGCCGTGGATTTCCAGAATCCAAGCGCCGCCTCCATCCTTCCAACAACGATTGTGCTCTTGCAAACTGCTTTGGCTCACCTTCTAGGGTCTGCACCGTGGAACGGAGGTAAAGATTGCTTTGGTTAATCCTGGAGATCTCAGAGCTGAAAGCAGTGCAGATATCAAGCAGGCTCACGCTGTTCTCCATATACACATCAATCCACTTCTCATCCCAACCGCAAACTGGAAGTTCAAGTTCTTTAACCAGGACTCTCACACTGGTATGTATTGTTGAGAGTGAAGCCATCACTTCTTTCATCCATGATAGGCTGAAGGCGCGTGCCCCGCATCCAGGCTTGAGACATTTGATCTTCTCAGCCAATGATTCCTCAAAAGCATTCAACAGAGAAAGGAGCTTTGGGGACAGGTGCGATGAGCCCTTGGGCAATATCATTGAAAAAGGATTCTTGAATGGAAAATGAGGACGGTGAGGATCTTGTGGACAACTCATTCTACAGCATAGTGAAACTGCATAGAAATTGGGAAGCAAGATGAGAGTAGGCATTACATACTAAAGCTTTTTTGTGGTAAATATTCGTAGTATCATTTCTTTTCATTCAGTATCTGGATATCTCCAAGCTGGGAACACTAGGAGGGTTAGATACAGGATAAAACATTTTCAGTTATGGTCTATCATAAACAGCCTCTACGCCCATCATGAATAGAGGTAATAACAGATTAACAGTCCATGAGCAGAGTATACACGAGATATTAGGATTAAGCGGGTGAATTCGGGATAAAAGGGAGTTGAAAATCGAATTTTCAAATAAAAATGGTCAAGCAAAACTATAACAGACGCTGTGCATAAATTTTTCACAATTTCTTTGAAGATCTAAAGCCCATCCAAATTTCATGAAATTTCATTTCAACAAATCAATCGCAGAATTGGGAAAAACCACAATCAATGATTACCTTACAATGGAGAATTCACAGACACAGTAAACATTAATCTAAAACCATCGATTAACAACTACCAGAAAAGAAACCATTTTTGTTTCAAGTCAATCTTAAAAGAAATTTCAAGATCAGTATATATGACAAACAATCGGAAACATAGATTAAAAAAAGCGCACCGGATATTGAATCGGAAACTGATTGACGGAGTCAACGCCGCCGATGATTGACGAGCAAAATTGAGATTAGAGAAGGGTCAGACACCAAGCCTTACTTAAGCACGCAGTTTCAAATCAGATATCTGTGTACTCCTATATAATACAGCGATATGTATAGAGAGAGAGAGAGAGATGGAGAGAGAAGAGAGCCGTACGAGTGAGGATGTAGAGAGAGAGCGACAGGGAGGTAGGAGAAGGTTGCACGCACACGCGTCGGAGGCGATGTTTGGCTTCAAGCATTGGGAATTTTTCTGGAGATTGGGCAGTCGGCCATGTTTGGTCTGCCCGTGATTAAGACAATGTCTCAGCGTTGGATTGACAAGTTGAGACCATCAAATTCAAACCACCGTTCGATCATTTTACCCATTCGCCTTGTTCAATGGCCATAGCCTCAAGTAGGGTTGTTGAAAAAATCGACTGAACTGGACAGTTATGTCCAGATCGATTTCGGATCGAATGGATTTCAGGTCGGTTTTCAGTCCAAAAAAATTAATTATTCAGGTTTCAATTTGGTCTAAATCTGAAATATTTTAGGTCCAGACCGATTAGACCGACTGGACCTAATAATCTTACTGGACATAAAAGACCTAAACACTAAAACTTTACTTTTTAACTTCAGTATTACAACTTGATGCTCTATTTTAATAGATATCTTAATTTATTCTTTAAAAATGGTTTTTTATTGAGTAATTTTTATATAAAGTTAAAAAAAAACTATTTCACATTAACTTTTATAATTCTACTTAAAAATAATCCATGTTGTGCATCTATTAGTAGGTTGCCAAATTCTGTCTATTTGCACGGTACAAAATAAAATGTCTAAAATATATTTAAATCATTAAAATAATTAAAAGTATACATTTTATTTGGTCTTATCGGTCCGGACCGATTTGGTCTGAAATTTAGTCTGGTCTGGCCTAAACTCGAATAGATTTAGGTTAGGTCGTCGATCCATGATTTTATCATTTCGGTCTTCGGTCTGGTTCAGTCCGATCTTGGACCGATGAACATCCCTAGCCTCAAGAAATTGACTCAATTGAAATAATTCCAATGTTTGGTTAAATAAATTGATAGTTCTAACCAACCATAAACCCATTCCCCCATAAGTCTTGAGACCAATCCATTTCGTCACCCACATCAATTGCAAGGTGCAAGTTTTGTTTACTTTAATATCAAAATTTAGTACCCAAAAGTCAATTAAATTTGCACAGTACAATTCACGTGGGTGATGAGCACCGTAAGTATTTTTATTGAGTGATTAACGGAGGAGGAATCATCAATTTTGTTAATAGAGCACCGTAAGTATCTCAATAGAGTCCGTGTTCTCATAGACAACTAATTTTGAGTGGCTATTGAACTCAGTCGTTTGCCAATAATCCTCATTCCATTCCAACTTGAGTTTCTTTTTTTTAATATTTCTTTATTTTTTTTGGAAATAAATTACTTCCTCCGTTTGAAATTCAACTTTCTAATTTGACTTGTATTCGTGTTTAAAGAAAACTAACTATAAGGTGGAAGTATTTAAAATACTCATCACACCCTTCCCATCGCTAGTCCCCCACCACTCCCAATCGCCCCAATCCCACCATCTCCGCCAGCCCTCGCAATCTCTGCCAACTCTAATACGACTGTCAACCTAACCATCACTACCAACCTCTGCCATCGTAGATCTAGAAGAAAGAGATGACAGATGAGGAGGAGAAATGGAGAAGGAGATGAGGAAGAGGGCGCGTAGGAAGATGGTTGAGGCACATAGTAATTGAGGCACATATCAAACCCGATTAGATGGTAACTGAGAAGAGATAAATTAGACTTTAATTGTAGATTGGTGGTAGAGAATGAAGTCTGCACCTGGTACTGACAGAGATCGATCATATGCTTTACATAGTTGCCTGTAACGCGATTGTCAGGAATCGAATTCGGGTCTACCCCTTAACACTCGCAGCCAAGCTAATTTATACCATCATAAATGATGATAGATGGAGTCGAGTAAAAATATATTTTTTTACTAGTCATTCGATTCATCCACCGATATGTATTAGGAATAATATATGTATTAGTAGTATTTATTTCTTTATTGTAGAGTTACTATAACTCTTCTCCTACTATGTTTAAAACTCTCTCTTCCAATCTCTATCTATATATAGAGATGTATCCTTAAATATTTAATAAGACCAATTATTATCAAATTGTATCATAGTATCGGGGCTAATGTTTTCAATCTCAATGAGCGTGCCTAACAACCGTCATCCACTATCTCTTTCTTTTTCTCTAAAAATACCTATTATCTCTCTCTCTTCTAAAAAAACATGTGCATGATCAATCAAAGAAGAGAAAAGTTGCATTTTTTTGTGTTTTTTTCTAAAAATTGAAAACATGGAAAGCGACCGAGAAGTAGAGAACGAGCTAAAAGAAGGAAAAAATCAAGAAACTTATTGCCCTCGCTTCAATCGTCGACCCTCTTACCAGGGAAATTCACCAAACGTGATCTCAAGCTCGTTCATCATGCAATAAAGATGTGATTCTATATTTCTAGAGGTTATCTCACAAAACTACTCCTGCCGGCTTAATTCCAGTACTTCTGCTCTAAGATGCTCATTGTTACAGATGATTAGCTTGTGGGGATATTAGGAATAATATATATAATAGAAAATATAATGTTATTATTTATTTCTTTATTGTATTGTTGCTATAATCTTTCTCCTAATATGACTAGAACTCTCTATTCTAATCTCTATCTATATATAAGAATGTATCATTCAATATTCAATAAGACATGATTATTATCACATTTTATCAATACATAAAGTGAATTAATAGTTCTTCGACTATAAGTATACAATTTTATTATTTACTCCCTTCGTCTCCCTGTATTTGTCCACTTTCATTTTTGCACACCATCCAATGCACTTCTTTAATCTATTTTATCTTGTAATTTATATATTAAAAAATTATAAAAAATTATATATTAATAATCTATATGTTAAGACAAATCAAACAAGATCACACATGACTATATTTAGGCTTACACATTGAGAGAATTTGATGAATCAAAGTGCTTGGATGAACAGTTCCAAAAGTCAAATGTGGACAAATACAGGAGGACGGAGGGAGTAAATTATAGAAGTCCTAGAGAGTAGAGAATATGAAATCTTTTAAACAAATGAATATGAAAAATTAAGAGTTTTGTCTCGTCTAGATTAAATCTGCGTGACAGAAGAGCATAGAATTGAAAAGAAGAATGCTAGGGGTACATCATTTGGTGTACACCAACAATCATAGCTATAGATTTTCCTTAATATTTATAATTTTTTTTCTTTTCTTGCTTTTGTGTGGTGGAGATGGGGGTACAAATGGGATACAAGAATTGGTGTACCCCTACCATTTTGAATTGAAATTGCTTACTCAAAGAGATAAGGATAGTGGTGGGGGGCTTTCGTGCGTAATGCTTTGCCTTCTCATTGATGAGACATTTGATGATTATACTACTACTATTAGGGTATTAAGAGTAGACAACTTTTCAAATGAGAAACAAAGTTTTCTCCAATTTTGCCTTCTTTTAGTAAGGAATTTGTATTTCATATGTGAGTGTTTCCTTCATTTCAAATTAAATTATTTGTTAATTATTTATAAAATCAATTTTTATTAGGTAAAATAATATAGTTATACCCACATTGTTTCGTAAAATTTTTAATATAATTTTTAATGTATAATTTTTATTTTTAAAATTCACACAAATTTTAAATAAATTATCTTGAAAATAATTTCAGTCAAACATTAAAAAAAATCAAAACATACAATTTAAATGAAGATGGAGGGAATAAACTTTTTTATTTTTTTAAAGTTAAGATAACTTTCTTAAGTTAGTATAATTTCATCGATTAATTAATAAAATAAAATAGTAATATTAATTTATTTTGTACAAATTTTGATATAAATTTTAAATATATAAATTTCAAATAAACCGATTGCCAAATAAATAAATATCCTAATTCTTTCTTAATTTTTACCCTCTTTATCCCAAAATAGGACAAAATGTTATATAAGAAACACTTATTTATTAGGTCACAAGTCCACAACCACAAACTTAACTTGTGGTTGAAGTGATTTCTTTAACATTGTATCGCAGCATGTCACATTCTGGTTTGATAGTTCCTGGTGGTTCGGATGTTGGTTTAGCAAAGTGAGCTACCTGCTCGTGGTTTGGGTTGAGTTGACTATAAGAGAATGAAAAGCCACCATCCGTTATTTGAGCTAGCTAAAAAAGATTGAGATGTTAGACCCGTTTGTTCAAGTGATAGCTAAACTAGCCAAGTTACCACTAACATGTATAGAAAGGTTAAATCTTACCTATCAGCTTAAGCTTTGGATTAGAATAGTCGAATTTGACTTTATATGCAAGTGGTTCATTTTACCCGACTCTCCACCTGTTGTTCTCGGTCACTAGGGTATGCAGAGTCACTAGGGTTTGAAGTTATAAGGAGATGAGAGGAAATGAAAATTTCGTCTCTAAAAGATTGCAACAGTTTGATTGTTCATCAAACAGTGATATCTTTTGACCAGAAACTAAATATATATAATTTAAATAATTACATATTATAAAAATTTGATATTTCAAAATTATATTCTAAAATAAACTTAATTTTTTTAAATTTACATTATAATCAAATATACTTTTCCATCCCCAAAAAAATACTTTTCCGTAATTCACAGTCAAATGTTTTCATAGTTTAAAAAAAAAAATCAAACTATACTAATCTTTTAGGGAGTAAGAAGTTATGGAACTTATGAATCTCACCCAAAATAATATGAAATGACATTACGAAAAAACGAGGAATAAAAATGTACACCAACCGTAGTATTATTAAATTTTTAACTTTTGTGTTTTTCCATTTTTAATACAAACTAAAAAATTAAATGTTCATTTTAACATTTACTACCTCAGTTCTAAAGTATTTGTACAATTTGATTTTTTTTGAGTCAAATCAAAAGAATTTTGAGACTCAATTAAATAAAAACTACAATGTATATTAGTTTAATAATGATTTTATTATATTTAGCTTG